GACGTGACATGTTCGTACGAACCCTTTGTACGAACAAAAGTAAGAGAAATTTAGGATAAGAATACGAACATGTTCTTGCATGAGGCCCAATGAGAGCTTATTGAAGAACTGCTATACATTCAAACTCCAGGCCAGGTGGCGACAGCTCTAACCACTTTTCCACCGTGCGTTCCACTGTTTGAGTTCAGTAACATATCCAGAGTGATACAGGTGGAGCTTTACCTTCTATTCTATAGTTCACATCTGTTTTAAAAGGATAATTCAACCAGTTTGAAGTTGTTTTCTGTGAAAAGTTTATGATCAGTGAATGTATTTTTTTCTCTTTAACCCCCCTCAGTGTAGAGAGTTTAATTCTGACTGGAACGATGAGCTACCGGCTGGTCTAGGACCAAAGTTGATCCCTGCCATCAAAAACAAACCCAAGCTTTAACATGTTTTAGTAATTGCTGCAAACACTATTTTACAACATTTACGTCGTCATCAATTTAAGCTGGCAGCTTTGTTTTGGCAGAAAATCCTGCAGGAAGTGACCCCAGTCTACACAGGAAGTGCTGCGGCTATCTCCTGATGTAAACAGCTACAGAACCGTGTACTGTGAAATTAATGTTGTAAAAGTTTGTAAGTAGTTTGGTATAAATATTAATGAAACATTAGGTGTATTCATGTATCAGTTTGATACAGTTTGATTCGATGCAAATGATGTGAAAAAGGATTCCCCTCCTTCACCCGGTTCCTTTTTATTTGTGTTTTTTTTGTCACGTTTATACGTTTCAGATGATCAATCAAATGTTAGTATTAGGTAAAGATAACCTGAGTAAACACAAAATGTATTTTTATAAGTAATGATTTAATTTATTAAAGTAAAATTATTATCCATATGCAGAAAACCATTGACAAAACATAATAGTGCCATCACCTACTGTAACTCATTCAGGTCTTGAAGCAGCAAAGCATTCCCACACCATCACACTACCACCACCGTGTTCAGCTGTAGCTCTGGTGTGATTTAGTTTTTATTTTTATTTTTTCTCATCAGTCCAGATTATTTTTCCCTGAAGTCTTGGAAATCTTCAAGGTGTTTTTTTGGTGAATGTGAGACGGGTCTTAGGAACTGGTGTCGTTTTGTTTTTGTCTCGTCGTTACGTCACGAACTCTGAAACGCTCTACATGTTGTTCTGGGTTCTTGTGAGACCTTCTGGATGAGTTGTTGATGAACTCTTGGAGCCATGTTGGTCAGCTGGCTGCTCCTGGCAAGGTTTGCTTCTGATCCGTGTTTTCTCCGTTTGTTGACAATCAGCTCTGTCTTTATGCTGCAGCTCTGACAATAACCAGGCCTGGGTGATGCAACCAAAACTGAACTCAGAAACAAACAGCTTAAAATAATTGATTTAACAGAAAATAAGTATTAAAGTATTCAGATTTGAAAAGTTTATGCAACTATGGTTTATATAACCAGCTGTGGTCACACTACCAGCACCTGGTACACACCTGGTACTAGCACCTGGCACCATCATCTGATATGATGATAAAACATTAATATTTGTGATTGCCATGTTATAGAAAATGACTAGCTTCAAATCATTGTGATTTTAATTAAAACTTTCTGAAAAAAGCTGCAACAATAAAATAAAAATTCCCCACAGGGCCTGAGGACTCCTGCTAGTCTTTCTGTTGGTGGAGGGCTGATGAAAGGTAAACAGATAAAGAAGTATGAACTGTATAAAATGTGTGTTTTCAGCACTTCCTGGACCTGCAGCTGGTCGGAGAACACCAGTATGGCGCCAGCCTTCTTCACTCTCACGATACGGACACGCGTGCCACCATGAACATGGCTGTGTGTGACGATGTCATCGCTGCAGGGCAGGACGGGACCTGCTGCCTCATGACCTTTAAACTCCACGGGCAGAAAGGCGGACAGGTTGCTGCCAAACAAGGTGAGCTTGATCACTCCCCGTGGTTCCACAAAGAAACTGAAACATGGCTCATGGCTCGGCTCTGCTGCTGGAAGACTTCTTCTCTGGTTAGCTGAGACCAAAACTGCTCAACATCAACCACACAGTTATAGTGTTCAGTTCAGTTAATGATGGTTAATTAGCTGGTATTCAACTTGTTGAAAATAAAAACTATAAGAAAGCATTTAAAAGCTAGTAAAATGGTAAATAAAGTGTGTTTATGTAGTCTTTCTTTCGCWTAAGTCACAGTCCGGTTGACTCATCAGAGTTCATGTAGGAGGAAACCTGGGCTTCATCTTGCTCAAGGACACTTCAGTACGTGATGCTGGGATTGAGCCATAGAATGTCTTCGATGTGAATTATGATGATAGTTTGGTACCATCTGTACCATGCTGTTTCTGTATGTAAACCTGTGTTTTAACCAGGTACTACTTTATCTGTATTAAAAAAAAGTGTTTCTTTGTTTGTTTGTTTGTTTGTTTTCTGCAGCAGCTAACAGCACGCAGCGAGGTAATGCCAGGAGACGAGCTGGGAAAACGGACGGCACTGATCCGAATAAAGCCGCTGCTCCTAACGTGTCGGACATGAAGGACGACACGGCTCACATCACAGTGACGGCTCTAGCTGACGTGCAGTCGGACCTGAACCCACAGGACCCGCTCCAGAAAGTAGTCCGGTTCAGTCCTGACTCGAACCTCCTGCTGACGGGAGGTACTGACGGACACATACGAGTGTGGGAGGTGAGCGTTTCAAGCTTCGGGAAACACGTTTTAAATATTAGTGTCATTCATTAAACACGAGAACAGGATTGAACTGAAACGTGTGTCCTACATCCCTCCCTGAACCAATACACTTCCTGAACACTGAATGTGGAAAACAAACTGACATTCTTACTGATAAGTTTTATCTGACAAAATCAGATACGGATAATTATTGCTGTGGATCAGTAAATCAGAAGATTTAATATAAATCTCAGTCTCAATGTATTTGTGAAGCCGTTTTACTTGAGTTTCAGGTATAATCTGGCTTCTGTTACAGTATCCATCCCTGAAGAAGAAGTTGGACTTCAAAGCACATGAAGGGGAAGTGGAAGACTTGGACATGAGTGCAGGAAACAAGGTGAGCCTCAGACACCTCCCTCGTGGTCTTAGTGAGTCTAAACAACCGCTGGAATCTTGTTTCTCAGTAACTGTCGGCATGTTGGCTTCTCACGCAGCACCTGGTGACGGTCGGGCGAGACTTCGCCTGCAGCGTTTGGACTGGCAACCAACTGGCAACGAGACTGAACTGGCTGGAAACTATGCCTCAAATTGCTGAAAAGTCTTATCGATATCTGGCTTGCAGGTAAAAAAAAAAGGATTTTCAAGCTAACTTCTTGATGGACCTGTTTGGACACCAGCTGTTCTTCCTTTGATTTAACCTCTGACCTGACGGCGTTCGTATGCGTTTCAGGTTTGGACGCGTCGAGGACCAAAAAGATGCTCTGAGGCTTTACACGGTGCAGATCCCTCATAAACGAGACAGAAAACCTCCTCCTTGCTACCTCACCAAGTGGGATGGTAAGAGCCTGCTGCCCATGCTGACGTCTCCCTGTGGAGCTGAAGTTCTCTCCACTCTAGCTGTCAGGTAACTCATCTGGATCAAACTCAGGCTGTTGTTGGAAACACAATGCCTAATTGTGTAATGCCTAAAAGTGTAAAGCTGAAGTGTTTGGATAGGTGTGGAATAATAAAAAAAAGTACTTGTGTCGTTTTATCCACTGAGATTTGTGTGGGATCAATCTTGTGCCAGCAGGAATTGAATTTGAATTGCTCAGATTGAACCTGAATGTGCATCATTTCAACTTGAATGKATTGGTTTGAAAATGAATTTTACTAAATTGAAACTGAATTTAAAGTTTTGTATCTGAATTAATTTGCTTTGAAACTGTATTTTGGTCTATTAAAAATTCAGTTTTGCAACTTTAACTTTCAGTTCCTTAAATCAATTTCAATTCCAAAACTCTGATTTTTGTGTCACATCCTGGTCCTTGAGAAAACCAGCCAGAATAATCAAACACAGATCAACATATTAATATTTCACTTTGGTGAAGTTTCCCTTTTGTATGTAAC